TCTTTTCTTGAGAATCTTATCAATAACACCTTCTTTTTTCACCCTTTGTCCATTTGAAATGAGCTAGCTACTGGCCATTATTGGTAAATCCATGGATAGTTACTATCATATGTGTACAGAGTGGCTATTAAATCTGTACTTATCCCATAAATAAATGATTTCAAGCTTTCCAGAAAATAAATGTCCATTTTACGGGCAGAAATTATTTTATTCTCCCTTTTCTCCATAAAAATCTATTTTAGATTAAATTGTGAAACATACTGTGATTAAAATTGGATCTAGCTTCAATCTTTATTTATTTATTTTTAAAAATGAAATTAGGGTTTAGCTTTTAACATAGCCAAAACCAAAAACAAGGGGCACAGAAATAAACTCTGTCCATAATGAGGCCAGCATGGCAAAGGAAAAGGATCATATAATACTGTTCTAATGTTGAGAGAAGAAAGAATAATTTGTGTTACCTAATATCTTTACTTTTATATGTGGGAGATCACCCTGCTGATTATGCCCAAAGCAAGCTGTGAGCTGTGCAGCCTCTAAAGAGTTACCCTCACAATTGACTTGTTTAAAGAAGTGAGTATGGTTGAAGCCTATGTGACTCACAGGTGCATTGTGAAAGGTGCACAGGTCAGTACCAACCCCCCAGCAACACCCACAGTGGAGGCCCATGAATCTGTGGGGCTTAATATGAAATAACATGGCAGCCAAAGTCAGCATGACTCCCACCCAAATTCCATTGCCAAAGTTAGAACCTTCTTAACTGAAAAGACAAAGTTAATCACTAAACACACACTATATTGTGTCTGTTCTGTTTATAACACAAGAGTGCTTTGTCTCTTCTTTTGCAAGCCTTGCCTGCATCAGCAATGTATCCTTAGCAACTACATGTGGCCTCCTCACCCCAGCTTAATGAATGATTGTGTCACCAATAAATATTGATGGCTCTGGCTGTTCAAGGTTTTTGCTCGCTCAAGCACTAACCATCTCAGTTCCTTACTTCTCTTTGTTTCTGTTTCTGAGTCTTTCTTCCCAGTTTGCATTGTAGCACTGAGCAGGAGATCAGGGTCCTCTGAAGGGGTCTGTGATATTTATACAAAGCCCTTTTCAGTATTTTTGGTAAATAATATTTATAGGAAAATATTCACATTCATTTTTTACACACAGTCAGGTGCTGCTTTGACACCACAATGGTGGAAGTCAGTGTTGACTGACCAGAAGACCTGAAAAATCCACAATATTGACTATTTATTCTTGTATTGGAAATGTTTCCCTTCCCTGACTGTTGTGTAAGAACAGTCATACTGGTTGGGTATACAAAAAGAACTAGTATGGATCTTTGCTTCCTATTTCAAATTATCAATTATTCGTGGGGAAGGGGAAAGGAAAGAAGGGAAAGGAGAAATTACGAAAAAAGAAAAAAATGCAAATGAAGTCTATGTAAATAGGGAAGAGTGGAGGGGGTGAAGGGCACACAGGTAATGGGGAAAAAATAAGAACCAAGATATATCACGTGCAGGTACAAGCACCCAATGATAAATGTAAATGTATTGTATATCTAAAATGTACCAATGAAAGAATTTAAGGAAAAGAAAAGAACTAGTATGTGTGCCACTACAAACTAAACTTTTTTATTTTCTGACTTTTCCAACTTTGTTGAGTTTTAATATCTATTGCAATATGTTAATCTTTCTTCTTTTTGGTAAATGTAGTGTCTTAGACTACATATTTCTGAGTATATTCTTTCATGATTCTTTTAAAGTATCTTATTTTGTGGATATCAAAAACTTAAAAAGATTTATCATCATCATTATAAGTAGATATTAACATTCATTTTATTTTAATTAATTTCATTATTCTTTAAATATCCTTTTTGTGTCTGAGTCACTTTCCTTCTTCCATAGTAAATCTATCATTTCATATTATAAAAACTTTAAAAATTAATTTTTTTCTATTTATCTTGTGATGTTTATTTTCTTTACTTTTAGGGTAATGTTTTATGTTTCTTAGTATGACGTTTTTACTTCATTTTGTGTGAAATTGTATATTTATGGTAATCCATAATTTGTCCTTATCTTATAATTACACTTTCAAGTCCCTTTATATCTATAAAGGAGTTTTACGGTCAACATTATTGTTTGTTTTTGTAGGTAACTTTTTTTTTTAATCTACTTCAATTAAGATTTTGGCTTTGAACATAATTTTCATCTATTGATTTATGTCTCTATGTGATTTTAATTTGCTTTCTCCTCAGTGAACATGTTTTATGATTTGTGGACTGACATCTTTCAGCAATTTAAAAAAATATTCAATATTTTTGAGTTTAAAATGGTTTCTGCTTTATGTTCTTCCTTAACCACATTCCACTTATATGTATGTTTTGCAATTTCAAGAGCTCTGACACATCCTTTATATGATTTTTAATATTTTACATTCAGATTTTTCTTATTTTTGCTTTGGTTGATAATTAGTTAATATATGTTTCAGTGTAATAATTTATCTAAATTTATTGATTCACAAACATCTTAGATTTTTGAGAGCTATAATTTACATTTGACTCTGTTGTGAATTTTTCAATATACAGTTTGCAAATTTCCTTTAAATTTCTTCTATTTATTAATTATAGGTTTTCTAAAAATCCATCTCTGTAAGCTCCAATGTGTTTTTCATGTTTTAGTTATCATTCGTGATCTATTACTTCTTTTAAATGCTTCCACAGTGTTCATAAGCCCACTATATTTTATTAAAATTATGCAAGATCCAGAATAGTATTGTATTTCATCATAGAGGTATTATGTTTGTTCCTAGGCTATTATAATGTCAGATCAATTGATGTGGATATGGTGACTCCTGCCTGTACTTCCAGTTACTCCAGAGGTTGAGGTAGTACAATCACTTGTGCTCAGAAGATTCAGGCCATTCTGGACAGCATATGAAGATCAATGTGAAAATAAACAAGAATAAATGGTATACTGGAAAGAGAGGGAGAAAGAGTGAGAGAGAGAGAAGAGAGAAGAGAAGAAGAAAGGAAGAAAGTAAAGAAAGAAGGGGTCTTATTGACATATTGACATGATTTTTACAAATGCTAACATAAAAATAAGGTTGCTAAACAGGATCTGTCTGCATCTGTTTGGGCCAGCCTACATGAGTTACTCTTTTCAATTACCTGTGTTTCTTATTAGCAAAACCTGAATGCTCATGATTATTTTTTAAGACCTTAATATTGTCAACCAGCTTAGAAAACATACTCCTGCAACCCAGAGAGATGTTAATTATGTCAAAGAGAAACCTTGCTTAGTGTGAAGTTCAGTATTGTATTAATACACTGTTTACAGCATTGTGTTTTCCTCATCTCCAACTGTGATTTGCTATCCATAAGTAGGGTTAGCATCCAAATTTCTGCTGATTATATTTCTCTCAGAAGCCTCTTGACATCTAGCATCAAGCAGAGTGGAATTTCAACCCATGTTTTGAAAATTTTCCCATCTTCAAAATATTGGTCCCTTTAATTCTTTCATCCTTTTTTAAAAAAGTATTTTATTGCATTTAATATTGCCAGTTTGAATTTCTCAAGTGGAACATAACATCTTTTAAGAAAAGAAAAGCATTTTCAACATTAATCAAATCAGCATGCATATGCATGTACGTTTGTGCAACACAAGGATTCTGTTTAATAAAAGTAGTAATCTAATGTTCAGTTGTTACTGTGCAAAATCTCATGATTTTGAAAAAACTTTTTTTTCTTGGGATGTACAGTCCATATATTATTTTCTACATAGTTAAAACCAAAAGCAATATTTTGAAGCATTACTTGAACTCATGCGTCTTAGGCCAGAATGTCAGCATTATAGTCATATTTCCAATATGAAAATGCCTGTTGAGATGTATATCTAGAATGTTCCTAAAAATTCTCAGTTTTTGAGGATGTGGGGGTGTTTTTGGAAGGTGTATTGATTATGGGGCCCTCTACTTATCAGTGTACTCATCTGCTGATTTTTAAGCGGGTGCCACGAGAAGGGACCTTGTAAAGGCTGGTCCTGGGGTGTGTGTAATGGAAGGGACTCTCCTTCCCTGACTCCTCCTTTCTCTGTTTCCTGGATGCTATGAGGTGAACAGTTTATGCTCTAGCCATACCCTTTCACCATGTCATTTAAAACCAGTCAACCATGAGCCAAGAGAAACCTCCCTGCTTTTGAGTGGTAGGTGTCAGACATGTGCCCAAGACACTTAAAAAATGATGAAGAAAACACCTACATCATTCTCTAGGTAGAATATTTTTTAAAAACTAAGAAACATTTCTCAAAGGCAGAACCCCAGCTGATATAATCCAAACACTGGTATTGGAAATGACAAAGCACACAGCCACAAACATTTTAAATAATCAGATGTGAGTACAAATATTACTGTTGAAAAAAACATTTTAAAAATTTATATGAAGAACAAATCAAAGAGGAAATTTAGGTAAGTTTAAAGCCATACATAAAACCAAATTCATCTGATCTGTTTAAAAAACACTGACATTTTGACCCATTCAGGTTAGAAGTCAATTTTTTTGCTGAACAACTTTTTCTCTCCCTCCCTAACTCCTTGTACTCCCTACCCTTCTCTCTCTTTTTCATTTCCTCTCCCACAACACCACAACCACACTCATGATCACATACAAATGTAGAAGCAAAATTGCTAATGTACTCCAACAGTAACCAAGCAATATTTGTGATAAAATACAGTTTATTTACTAATAAATCTCTTGACAAAAATTGAGTCTAAATTGATCACATTTTACAAAGACTTAAATAGAGAATACAGAAAGCTTTATACAAACTATCAAGTCAATTGATTCTGATGCATTAAAATGAAATGTTTCAGTTTATTTCATTTTTTGATGCTCTGGTGTGCAGCTGAAATTTGAAGTAATTTAAAAATTTATCATGTGAACCACATTGGGGATAAATTCCTTAAAACACCAGATTATAGCCAACAGGCTAAGAAGCTGTAGAAATTCCTCAGTAGCAGCCATAGGACCAATATCTTCTATAGCACAGAGGGCGGTGACAACTGTAACCATAGCCACCATAGCCATAGCCACAGCCTAGGCCACCATAGCCATAGCCCAGGCCACCATAGTAGTTGCCGTAGTAGCTCATGGTGTCAGAAGTGCACCACTCTGTTGAAAATTAGGAAGTAGGTTTTCTGTTGAAAATCAGAAGTCTAGATGTCGCTGTCTGCATGAGGCCTTTTATACCTCATTGTTGGTGGGTGGGGAAACCACAGGAAGTGCAGCATCATATTATCTCACCAATGAGTTTCAGACAATGTCATCAAGATCTTTACTAACTGAGAAAACAAGGCTCTCATAACTGAGATAATTTTCCTTCTGTGTCAGGAATCCATTGTCCAATAATGGGCCTTTTCAAGGAAATTCTTGTTATATTTTCTGGGCTCTGATTCATTCTACATTTAGGTAATTGTGGACATATGACCTGATTATATGTTATGGTGCAAATCATAAAAATAGATATCCCATTTTTATCTTTGTTTTGTTTCCCTTTCTCCTCAGGTGCATGTTTCCCTTCATTCCTTCCTCTCATCTTCTCTCCCCTCTTCCCTCTGTCCTTTCTACCTTTTCTTTCTTTTCTCCTTTCTCTCTCCTTTCTCTCTTTCCTTCTCTCTCTTTCTCTCTTCCTTCCTTCCTCCCTCTCTCTTTCTTCTCTTCCTTCCTTTCTTTTTTTCTCTACTTTTCTTGTGTTTCCTTGCAAATCATAGCAGTAGCAACTTAGATCTTCACACTTACCTATAAAAAAATGAGCTCATTACTAACAATTACTGGTAATTTGATGGCTAATTAATATCATAGGCATACATAGCTGGACATGTAATCCTTTGTTCCTAAAGGCATTTTACTTGTCAATCTTGATGTCTCTCTTTGTAGGTAACACATTTATTTTATCTACCTCAATGAAGAGTTTAGTTTTACATTTAATATTTGGTTACTGAGTTATACACACATGTGATTTTAATTGGTGTTTTCCCTCTTGGCAGTGAATAGATTTTAAAATCTGTGGATGGATCTCTTTCAAGAATTTCTGAAATGTATACAGTAGTTTTCTGTTCAAAAGTGGTTTCCATTTTATTTTTCTTCCTTTGGTGAATTTCACTTGTATGAATGTTTTGTCACTTATGTGATCTGACACATTTTTTGTACTCTCTGCAATATTTTACATTCTGTTTTTCTTCTTTTTGCTTCCATTTAAGGTGCACCCTCAAGTTACAACTGGCCTGACATATGAAAAACTTGGGATACGACCTGGATTTTATCTTTAATTTATGACCAAGTCTTGAATTATGACCTGGATATTGGCTGCTTATTCTTCCAGATGGCCTCAGTTACAGATTCAACTCTGAAAGAGTTCTGGAAGGAACATTACAACCTTTATAACTTCCTTTCCATGTGTGGAGTTAATTGAGCAATGCTTGAGTAAAGTCTCTCTAAGGACACTGAGATCTGCCTGTATATAGGAGAGTAAATTTGAAGGCTGTGTTGAAGAGCCTGAGCCTTCAATTGACCAACTTGAGTTACAACCAGCTCTTGAGAATGAATTGAGTTCATAAGTTAAGGGTCCACTGTACCATATTTTATCAATATATATTTTACTCTAATACTTCTTAAATATGTTGCTCACTTTTTGGGCGAACTAGAATTAACTTTTGATTCTATGGTGAATTTTTCCATTTTTAATATACATTTGCAATTTTCTTTAATTTTCTTCTATTTATTAATTATAGCTCTTCTAAAATTTCATCTCTTCAAGGTGCAATACATTTATCACTTTCTAGTTAGTTTTTATTTTTTGTTACTTTCTTTACATACTTCCACAGGTCATCATAAGCCCAATATTTATTACAAATATAGAAGATCTAAAATATTACTGTGTTTTACCATAGAGACCTTTATGGTTGCTCCTTGGCTATTAAAAATGTCTGACCATCTGATTGCACCGGGCTTGGTGAACCTTGCCTGTAGTTTCAGTTACTCTGGAATCTGGTAGGGGACAGATGCTTGAGCTCAGAAGTTTTAGCTCCCCCTGGACTGCAAAAACAAGGTAGCTTGAAAAACAGGTAGGAAGTAAACTTTCAAGGAAACAAGAAAAAAAATTAAAAAGAATGAAACTGAGACAGAAAGAGGGAGAGGAAGAATAGGCAGAAAGAAAGAAAAGAGACAGAGAGGGAAAGAGAGAGGGAGAGAGAAGGAGAGATTTAATTGAGTTGATGCAAGCAAAGACTCCTTGATATGGATAAATTTCTCATTTCAAATGATTTTTCTTGCTATTTAAATAAAACAAACTCTTGCAATGTCAGAGTTTGCAAATTATCTCAAGAAGAAACTTTGCTTAATATGTAGGTTAGTATTTTAGTAGTGTATTGTTTTCAGGATTGTGTTTTCTTTTGTCTCCAACTGTGCCTTGCTACCCAAAGGTAGGGGTAGCATCCTAAATTATGTTGATGTTACTTCTCCCAGAAGCTCCTTGCCTGCCTGCCAGAATCAAGAAGAGTGGAATTTCAACTCATTTCTCCAAAATATCTCCATCTTTAGAATGTTGGTTCTTTCAATCCTTTCTTTTTCTACCAGTATTTTATTGCATTTAATAGGGGCTGTTTGAGTTTCCCAAGTGAAACCTCATATCCTTTTGGAATGAAACATTTCTATATTGAGCCAATCAGCAAGCATAAGCACATATTTTATTAAATCCAGGATTCTGGCAAATACATTCATAATTCAATCTTAATTTTTTACTGAGCTAGTATCTCATAGTTTTGACAATTATTCTCACCTGTATAATCCATATTTTATTTTCTAAATAGGTAAAATAAAATGCTATATTTTGAGAAGTTACAGAAATGGAATTTGTAGTTAGAATGTTGTTCTTATTCATAATACAGTGGTCTCTCATTTCACAAACTTTCTTTTTCTTCCACCATTCTGAAGAAGATAGACAAAGTTCTGATCATCACAAGATGCAGAGTTCGAAAACAGAAGCCAAATGTTGCCAAATGCTTCTGTTTTTGAACTGAATAGTTCACGAACAGAAGTGTTCATGAAGTGAGGTACTGCTGTATTATCAGTGTGATTACCCTTGTTATGAGATAGACCTAGAATGATCCCAGACTCTCAAGCACTCAGATGCAGAGCTCTTGAAGGTCCATAGCTCATGGGGTCCCTTCTCATCAGGGTATTCATCCACTAATGTTTCAGCAGCTGACTGTGCCATTTGAGAGTGGGGCCTGGTCAGAGGCTGGGTGCTGGAGTGTGGCTGGAAAGGCGTGTCTCCCTCTGCAGCTCTCCTGACTCTCTACTCCCTGGCTGCTATGAGATGAACAGCTCATGCCAAACCCAAGCCCTTTCACCAGGCCATTTCTGCTTTAGTGCCAGTCAACAATGAGCCAATATAAACCTCTCATCCTTGAAGTAGTGGGTGTGAAATATTTTGTCCAGGGAATTGTAAAGTGACTGACAAAACACCTGTAATTATTCTTTAGGCAAAATATTTTTAAAAATTGCAAAACATTTTACAGTGGCCCAGCTCTAGCTTTTATAATCCAACCACTGGTGTTGACCATGATAAAGCACAGAGATACAAATGTTTGGAAATGATCAGATGGGAATACCATTTTTATTGTAGAAATAAACATTTTGAAAACTTAGATGAAGAATAGCATAAGCAAAGAAAAGTTGTCTGTGAGGTTAAAAAGCATATATAAAAACAAATTTGTATCCTCTGTTACCAAAAAAAAATCTGTATTTTTCCCATCCAGTGTAGACCCCTAATTGTGGCCAAAGAGGTTTCCCTCTCCTTCCTACCTCCCAGGAATCTCTCCATTGTATCTTCCCTTCTCTGTCTTTCTCCCTTTCTTTCCCACAACACATCCACACACGTGAGAGTTATCACACTAAATATGCAAATAGAGAAGGAAATTGTTAATGTAAAAGAGTAACAATGCAATATTTATGATGAAATATAGTTTATTTAATAATGAATATCTGGATACAAATATTGACAGCCGAATTTGATCACATTTTACCTAGCATTTATAACAATAGCACAGATACTTTTCTACAATCTTTCACATAATCTGATACTGGTGAATCACAATGGCATATTGCAGTTCATTTGGTTTTTAGATAGTTTAGTGTGTAGTAGGAGTTTGAAGACATTTAAAAATGGATAATGTGAAGAACGCTGAAGATAATTCCAGGAAATCAATAGCTGATAGCCAATAGGCTAGGAAGCTGTGGAAATTCCTCAGGAGAAGCCATAGGACCAGTATCTTCTACAGCACAGGGGGCTGTGACAGCCATAACCACAGCCACCACAGCCACCATAGCCAGAGCCACAACCATAGCCATAGCCCAGACCACCATAGTAGTTGCTGTAGTAGCTCATGGTGTCAGGAGTGGACTGTTCTGTTGAGTATCTGGAAGTAGATATCTTGAGTTTGGTCATCACTGTCTACCAAGGGCCTTTTATACATCCTTGGTGGTGGGTGGGGAATCCTTAGGCAGTGCAGTGTCATATTACCTCACCAATGAGCTTCAGATGGTGCCACAAATATGTGCTTATTGAGAAAACAAGGCCCTTGTGACTGAGATAGTTTTGCTCATGTATCAGGAATCTATCATCCAATGGAAGTCCTATAAACTGAAAATCTTGTTCTATTTTCAAAGCTGTGGTTCATTCTATATTTAGTTAATTTGAAGCCTATGACCTGATTACATGCTATGGTGCAAATAATGAAAATAAGTATCATGGTTTTTTTTTCCATGACTCCTCAGGAATACTTTTTTTCTTTTTGCTCATTTTCCTTTCTCTCTCTCTCTCTCTCTCCTTTTTTGTTTTTCTCCCTCCCAGTCTTCTCTCTCTTTCTCTCTCTCTTTCTTTTGTTTTCTTTCTTTTCTTCTTTCCTTCTCTTTCCTCCTATCCTGGCTTTTCTTGAAAATTTTATCAGTGGCAACTTAGTTCTTCACACTTGCTCCTGACAAATGAGCTTGTTATTGGTTATTATTGGTAAGTGTGTGGCTAGTGACTGTTATATGTCTATATATTGGACAAATAATCTGAAATTATCCCTTAGGTAAGTGATATCAAAT